CAGTGTTGGGGGTAACGCATTACAAGTAACGCGAGTTACGTAATCAGATTACATTTTTCAAGTAACTAGTAAAGTAATTTTTAATTTATTAATTTACAAGAGAATATCCGAGTTACTTTTTCAAATAAGTAACGCAAGTTACTTTTTTTCCCCCAATTGACAGCTCTCCAGATGTTACTGTAGTTCTAAAATAAATATAAATATGCATTAATTCATCTCACTCACAAAAAAAAAAACACGGATTCAGTATTCCTCAAAATGAATAAAAATAATGCAACTCCGAATATGATGCAAACCTGCAATAATTAAATTTTAAACAACACAAATATCCTTTATGTATTTAATCCCATTCTATTTGCTTCTGACCTTCGATGATCCAGTTCAACCGTACTAATAAGCCAAAATTACTCTAGACAAACACTTGTCTTTTTTTATTGCTGAAGTGTGTTGAAATGTCTTCTTCTGCATTCTACTGTACGGACCTAAATGTACTTTCCCTTCAGTCTGAGGCTTATTCATTTCACTTTTGGTGTGAAAGGCTTTTATATTTTCCAAAAATAGAACTTTTTTATTTAAAAAACAAACAAGCAAGCCCTGTCCAGATTTAAAAAGTAACGCAAAAGTAACGCAACGCATTACTTTCCATAAAAAGTAACGTAATTAGTTACTTTTTTATGGAGTAACGCAATATTGTAACGCATTACTTTTAAAAGTAACTTTCCCCAACACTGGAGGTAAGTAATGCAGGAAGTATTCAAATGGAATTAGTAGCAAAGTCATTGAGTCCTCTACGGGTACACGAGACCGGACAGTGAGGGTGTCTGAGGTGTGTGCTTTTATGCAGGCTGATAAAATATAGGAATAAAATACTTAAATTAACAACAAAACAGTAGCTGATTCAGAAGCTCCAGATTGTCATAGCAAAGTCAGAATGACCTCCTCTCCTAGGTTCACGAAACGGTCGTCCATAAAATGCATTGCTGTTCTGTTGTAAGTAATCTTAAAGATTCCTAAATGCGTCTACTTTCGGAAGGCCAAATAAAGTGCTTTTGTGTTCGCCTAGAAACACACAGCGTCTCCCTGACATGCTGCTTCAACACTAACTGGGTTACTGAAACCACGCCTTCTTTCTTTGCGTGCACATTTGGGCCGCATTCCGCAAATATTTCCACATAGTGAAGTAGATATGTGGGGGCGTGTTGGAACGAGGCGTTTTAGGGGGGCGTGGCAGAGTCTTAGCTTTGATAAAGAATATCTCTTTGGTTTTGAGACTTTAGTCTTTGCAACTTCAGAGATCTTATCTATGCACAATCAGCTTGTAACACTCCAAAGAGAAAGGAAAACTTGAAATCGTGTCATATGACCCCTTTAATAACTTACTCTTGTGACACTCATGGTTACTTATTTATTTTTTATGTTTTTGAAATAAGTCTCTTATGCTCTGCATGTATTTGATAAAAAATATAGTGAAAACAGTAGTGTAAAATAATATTACAATTTAAAATAACAGTTTTCTATAATACATTTTAAAATGTAATTTATTCCTGTGATGGCAAAGCTGAATTTCTAGCAGCCATTACTCCAGTCTTTTATGTCACATGATCCTTCAGAAATCATTCTGATGATTATGATGATTTGGTGCTCAAGAAACATTTATTTTTATTAGGGTTTAAAATATTTTGCTGCTTTATATATATATATATATTTGTATTTTAAACAGAAATATTTTGTAACTAATGCCTTTAGTGACACTTTAATGATCAATTTAACACATACTTGCTGAATTTAAATATTTTCTTTCATTCTTGAATTTCTTTTAAACCAGACATCACAGTAAAGACAAAATTCATGTCCCATTCATGTTACAAGTCAACAGACTGTGGCTGCCTTGAGGGCAAAGTTATGATAATGTCAGAATGACAAAGCAAGAATGAACTTCTATTGTAAAATCACCAATGTAAAGTTTCAACCAATGGGTTTAATTTTTTACAAATGTTCCACAAAGCTTTAGACATTCCCTCTGTTAACCATTTCCCTCCTTTAGAGGAAGCCAGGTGAGACAGATCCTCAACCAGGTTGAACACAGAGCACTAGGATGAAGTTTGAAGATCTTCTCTCAGAAATGAATGGATTCGGATGTTTCCAGAAGATGGTCCTGTGCATCAATTTCTTTGGGCGATTCAGTCTTGCGTGTCATTTCTTGTTAGGCAACTTTATTGCTGTTATCCCCTCTCACCATTGCAGCATCAGCTCTCTGGATGCTGATGAGATCTTTGAGAACCTGACTCAGGAGGAGAGACTGATTGTCAGTATTCCAGTGCAGGAAGATGGGACTTCTGCTTCCTGTCACATGTTCTCTTATCCTCAGCTCCACCTGCTGTCAAACTCCTCCAGCCCCTCAGAGGCTGCTGCAGTCCAGTGTCAGAATGGATGGGAGTATGACAACAGCACGTTCATCAGCACTCTCGCCACACAGGTGAGAAGACTCCTGCTTTTTTTATTTATTGCTGATTTATACACTTTGTACTTTTCTCTAACACAACCAAACAAAGAAACTTCTTTATTTGGTTGTGTTGTGAGTATTTGCAGCGTGTTTCTTTATTTGTTTGCGTTGTGAGCATTTGCAGCACCTGCTGTCAAACTGATGAAGGAGTATGACAACAGCACGTTCATCAGCACTCTCGCCACACAGGTGAGAAGACTCCTGCTTTTTTTATTTATTGCTGATTTATACACTTTGTACTTTTCTCTAACACAACCAAACAAAGAAACTTCTTTATTTGGTTGTGTTGTGAGTATTTGCAGCGTGTTTCTTTATTTGTTTGCGTTGTGAGCATTTGCAGCACCTGCTGTCAAACTGATGAAGATGTTTTCTTGATTTGCTGGTGCTTTTTCTATTTGCATGTGTTTTTTGAAGTTGCAGCGTGTTGAGCTCTCTCGGGCATCGTACAGATGCTTCAATGGATAATTCACCCAAAAATGACAATTCTGTCATAATTTACTCACCCTCATGTTGTTCCAAACCTGTATTACTTTCTTTCTTCTGTGGAACACAAAAAATTTATGCTGGTAACCATCAGTTTTGGTCACCATTGATTTCCATTATATGGACAAAAAACACAGATATATATTTTTTTTATGTTCCACAGAAGAAAGAAAGATCATACATGTTTGGACAACATAATTAAAATTTTTGGGAAACTTTCTATTTAAATCAATCTCAGTTGAATTAAAAACACAGGCCATTTTTCCAAAGAATCTAATCAATAGCTTTCACAAGAGGTATTTTTGTTTTTTTGCACCTGCACTTTCTAAATGGATACATGTCTGTTGCTGCACAGGTTTGGGCGTAAGCCAATGCTGCTGTTGTCGCATATGTTAGGAATGGGTTTTGGATTGTCGAGTGTTTTTTCCTCCTCCTTCATCATGTTTGCAGTGCTCTCAATATAAAATAATTAACATTTCATAAATATTAATTTTGATATTGTTATAGGTGGGTTCCACAGTCAGAGCGGTGGCTGATAGCTAATGGGAAGTTGGATAAAGCTCATTATTAAAAATAAATTATTTCCAACATAAAACCTGAGTTGAGAGAATCTCAATTAATATCCAGAAGGAAATCCAAAATATCACTGAAAAAATATTAGTTTTTTTAAAATACCAGAAATATATTTTTGTTTACAATGGTCCAGTATAGCAAACTTTCTCCCTTCTTAGAAACAGATTACTGAAAAAACAAAATGTAGCTTGGTTCTATCCATCAGTTGTTGATTGGATGGAGGCAGATCTGAACGCCAGCTTGCAGTCAACTGTAAGAAAAGGGCAGGGTTTTAGCAGACGAGATGATGAAGTCAGACATATGTCACCAGAGAGAAGTCTGTCGTTTCACGGGAAAATCAAGTCATGAAAATGTAATAAAAAATAGTAAGGTAAATAAAATAAAATAAAATAAAATTAAAAATTAACATGCATGGATAAATTGTTCGCAGTAAGATCTACAACATGCTTTTTGAAAATAGATTCTGAGTTTTTGTTAATCAAATATTGTTTGGATGGTCAAAACTGGCTGTCACATACTATAAAACAACAACCCAGTTTTTCTGAAACAGGATCTAAATACCTTTATTGGCTAACATTACCCAATGTTCCATGGACTCTATGGAGAAATGTCAGCAGAAAACTTGTTTTTAGAGGAAGAGCAATTTACTACAAAGATTACAAAGCCATATTTTTTTCCTTCAGAATAACATGCACAGATTCAAATAATCTCAGGAACATGCAATGAGAAAGTAAAAGAGGCTCGATACTGTGTTTGTTTTCTTGCTTTTACTTTAGCGTAGTTTGCTAACATACATTTAAACATATTTGTTTTCCTCTCTGTCTTTCTCTAGAATTTGGCTAAAATCATAGTTACTGACAGAGTAAACAGCAAGTATTCATACCTGGATCTGGTCAGGACCCCTATGAGGAGACTGGCTTTACTCACAGGAATCAGCTGGTGTGTACTGAACTATCAAATCACAAACACATGCCACTGTTCCATCAGTAAAATGACGTTTATACGTTTATAAAAGGACGGTTTTCTGTCGCCACTGTTGCCTATGGAATTAGTTTCAACATTTCAAGCTTTGGGCTAAATATGTACCTCACTCAGTTTGTGTATGGAGCTATTGAAATTCCTGCTAAATTGAGCATCTTTTACCTGCTGGATAAGTTTGGAAGAAGCATAACTCAGGCTGGATCACTGCTATTAGTTGGAATCAGCCTAATGATTAACATATTCATACTCAAAGGTGAGAGACTTACAACCAGTACCGCCGCTCCCTATACGCAGAGTACGCAGTTTGGTAGGGCACCAACTCCCAGGGGGGCACCATCCCAGTTGCTCAAAAAAAAAAAAACACTTTCGTTCTATATTAATATTAACATATACATATACATAAATAAAAATCTAAACATTAACATATATACTATATACAGTGCCTTGCAAAAGTATTCATACCCCTTCATTTCTTTCACATTTTGTTATGTTGCTGCTTAAAATTACTTTTTTTCCGCACATCAGTCTACACTCCATACACCATAATGACAAAGCAAAAACAGAATTGTCACAACTTCATAAATTTATTAAAAATAAAAAACTGAAAGAAGTACATTGCACATAACCAAATATTTAGCTGAAGAACATTAACAGCCTCAAGTCTTTTTTTGTTTGATGCGACAAGCTTTGCACATCAGCATTTGGCAATTATCTGCCATCCTTCTCCTCATCTCTTCACCTCTCAAGCTCTGTCAGCTTGGATGGGGGCAGATGCACATTTTCAGGTTTCTCCAGAAATATTTGACTGGGTTCAATCCCAGGCTCTGGCTGGGCCACTCAAGGACATTCACACAGTTGTCTATAAGCCACTCTTGCTGTGTGCTTAGGGTCATTGTCCTGTTGGAAGGTGAACCTTCTGGCCAGTCTGAGGTTCTGAACGCTGGACTGGGTTTTCATTAAGGCTATCTCTATATTTTGCTGCACAGAGCGTTCCTTCTACTCTTACGAGTCCCTCAATCCCTGCTGCTGAAAAACAGCCCCACAGCATGAGGCTGCTACCAGCACACTTTACTTTTGGGATGGTACTCTGCAGGTGATGATGCGTGTGCTATTCTCCTCGGGTGAGTTCTACAGTTCAGAACCCTGGGTTCCTCCAGCACTGTTGGTGTCGAGCACTTGCGTGCATGCCCTGTTGGTCAGCCCCTGTGTTAGACTAGGTGCCTCCATGTGTTGTGATTCCCCTCTTTGGGCAATCCCACGTGTGTATTTCCACAGTAAGTCTCTCTCGGCAGCATGTGTCTTTCCCTTGGCAAGCCACCCTTGCCATCTCTGACGCTGAAACACATCCACCCTGCAGGCTGGGTACCTCAGAGATTCATATGTATCACCGCTACGCTAGTTGATATGTGCTTGGTAAGACCTCCTACGAGCAGGCAGCCTATTAGCATACTTCCAGCTGGAATATGCTACCCAGTGCATTCTGTGTTAGATATAGCCCTTCGCTCATGCTGGCCTCACGGCAGGGTGCTATCACTTACGCAGGTCACTGGAAGACAGCCACTGTGGCGTTTTGGAAGGGACCCCATTCGTCAGTTTGTTCTGACGTAATGTCTCCGTTCCCTCCTTCAGGGAACGAGGGTTACATACATAACCTAGACGTTTTGTAAACCACAAAACCTTGCACAATGAGCTTGTTGAATAACAACTGTCTGAAAGGTTTTCTAAGCGCAGATCAGTGTTTGTGTTTTAATGAAGACAAAAGTTAATCTCTACAAATTACCATACAAACAACCCAATCTGTCAGCATCACCTAAGAATGTTTCTACTTTTCTACTTTTCTAAATCATTTAGATGGCATATTTTGCTAGTTTGTGTCAAATATTTATGACAAATAAACTTATAGTTTTATCTAATAAAATCCTTCTTAACACTAGCCAACAACTCAATATGACAACTCTGACAAAAGATGTATTACATGATCAGACGGAGCTTGCCTTTCTTCTGCAAAATCCAGAAATTGAGTCCCTATAAAATATCTACCAAGAGAAAATTGATCATAAAGGGACTGAAACTGTTTATGATATATTTATTTATGTATGAGCAAATCATGTATATAGCCGAAGAGTCCTAGTGTGACAAGATATCATCTGTAAGGTAAGGAACGGTGTCAATGTCCATGTGCATTAACCACGTGAACTGCACCCGACGATACGCTCTTTTACAAGCATTAACAACCAAATCACAAATCATTCACCCCTGCTGAGAAGATACTATGGGTAGCAGATTGTCTGAAGATATGGACACACACACACACAAAACCACAGCAGCTTTTATATTGACCAAAGTACAAAATGCATCTGACTTTCAGTTACCTTAACCTTTGATATCCCATAAAAACACACCACATAAACCAGGGATTTTGTGGGAAGACACTGAGGAAAGTGTTTCAACAAAAAGCATGAAGTTTGAAGATCTAATTACGCAGATCAATGGATTCGGCAGGTTCCAGAAGATGCTTCTTTGCATCAGTTTTATAGGACGATTCGCTATACCGTGTCACCTTTTATTAAGCAACTTTATCGCCGCCATCCCATCTCACCACTGTGATATCAGTTCTCTGGATGCTGAGGGAATCTTTGGAAATCTGAGTCGGGAGCAGAAACTCACTGTCAGTATTCCAGCTCAAGATGATGGGACTCCTGCTTCTTGTCACATGTTCTCTTATCCTCAGTTTCATCTGTTGACAAACTCCTCTAGCAGCGCAGAACTTACAGTAGGCTTGTATGTATAATTGACAGTATGGCATGGTCTGTTGGGAGCACCTCATTGTCTCTTATTGCATTCTGTATCAGAGACTGGAGATGGCTGACAGTGGCTGTCACTTCACCTTTACTGCTATCCACAGTCCTCTGGTGGTAATGGACCTTGCATATTCTGTCAAATTAAAATTATAACATTATTGTTATGAAATGTTATATAGAGCAAATGTTTCTGATGTAGGTGGGTTCCAGAGTCGGCTCGATGGCTGATAGCCAATGGCAAGGCTGAAAAAGCTCATTATTATCTTCATAAATGTGCTGTCATGAACTGCAAGGAGGAAGTTATCTCAAAAATCAAACCTGAGGTGAGAGAAAACGATATACAGTATATAATGTTGGATTGATCACTTTTTTTTTTTTTATCAGGTTTTTTGTCCTCCCTTTCACATCCAAAAAAAATGTAATAAAATAGTTGGGAAATTTGAGTTGTGAAATTACATGAAAGGTTCCAGTTTCACGCCCCATAGAGTCACTTCAGATCAAAGTGTCATGATAAAACTAGTGATATTTTCATTCATCTGGTTTTGAAAGTTCATGAAGCAGTTCATCACAATTCCTTAAGAAAAGTTATTTTCCATTTCTTTTGATTTCAAAGTGGGATCTGGTATGTGATAACAAAGGTCTGAATAAAGCTGTGACCTCCATCTTCTTTGTCGGAGTGATGTTTGGAGCAGCTTTTTTTGGAGGCATGAGTGACAGGTGATGTTTCAAAAAACCAACTGTATATTATGATAAATATTATGAATTATTTGCATTTTATGAAGACCGCCACAAGCATGAAACGTTTTGTATGAATAAACCTATCTTCTGTTTGGCATGTAGATTTGGCCGTAAGCCGATGCTGCTGGTGTCCTGTATATCAGGAATGGCTTTTGCATTGGCCAGCATCTTTTCTTCCTCCTTCATCATGTTTGCAGTGCTGAGATTCTTTAGTGGATTCACTATCACTGGCATCGCTATTGTCTCAACCGTACTCAGTAAAACCCCTATCGCAGGTCCTCAGATTAGGATTGAATGTGAATATAAAACAAAGTAAAATGGCCTTACTGTATATGCGTATCTTTCCTCAGATGTGGAGTGGGTGGACATTAAGCACAGGAGGCTTGTATGTATAATTGACAGTATGGCATGGTCTGTTGGGAGCACCTCATTGTCTCTTATTGCATTCTGTATCAGAGACTGGAGATGGCTGACAGTGGCTGTCACTTCACCTTTACTGCTATCCACAGTCCTCTGGTGGTAATGGACCTTGCATATTCTGTCAAATTAAAATCATAACATTATTGTTATGAAATGTTATATAGAGCAAATGTTTCTGATGTAGGTGGGTTCCAGAGTCGGCTCGATGGCTGATAGCCAATGGCAAGGCTGAAAAATCTCATTATTATCTTCATAAATGTGCTGTCATGAACTGCAAGGAGGAAGTTATCTCAAAAATCAAACCTGAGGTGAGAGAAAACGATATACAGTATATAATGTTGGATTGATCACTTTTTTTTTTAAACAATTGTCTGTCTGTAGGCTAACTACATCTCTGTCTTTCTTCTAGGCACTCTCAATAATAGTTACGGATGGGGGAAAGAAAAATTATTCATACCTGGACCTTGTCAGAACCCCTAAGATGAGGAGATTGGCTCTGCTCACAGGAACCATATGGTGTGTAAATGAACCACAGTTCAACAGTGCCCACTTTTTCAGTGGCCTTGGTCCTGATGTACTTTTCCCATTCATTTTTCCTATATGGATTTTTTAAAAGTCTTTGTTAAAGAGTTAAAAGCCACGAACCAAACAACCGGTTATGAGGTGAATCACAACATTACAAACTTTGATTTAAAGCAAAAAAAGTATTTGAAAATCAGACAAAATTCAAAGACACAAAACAATAAATTTATTGTAAAATGTGTATATTCATAGTACAGTGCATTTTGGTTGTTTCGATTCTCTGATTGTTGAAGATTTCATTGCAGAATCATGGGTAATGTAGTTTATCCTGCAGATTCCTGTTATTAAATACAATTATTTTAAAAAACAAGTTGAAATTATGCAGGCTGCTGGCTGCACTATAGCCTTCAGTGGCACTAGATTACAGAACAAGGACAGACTTCAATGTCTAAATAATAAATAATCTATTAATGGCTTTTCACTTCTTATAGGTTTTGTGTTGCCACTATGACCTATGGTATAAGTCTCAACATCACAGGCTTTGGGCTAAATATGTACCTCACTCAGTTTGTGTATGGAGCCATTGAGATTCCCTCTAAACTGATGGTATATTACCTGCTGGAGAAGATTGGCAGACGTAAAACTGAAGCAGGAGCTCAGCTGTTGGCTGGAATCAGCCTCATGATTAACATATTCATACCCAAAGGTGAGACTGGCAAAACCAACATATGATTATGCAGTGATGATTGTGATTACATGTGCAAGAGTGCTGTTGCTAGTGAATATCTTGGAAAAGCAGCATGATTACTTTTATATAACAGATTGATTAGACATTAAGACCGCAGACATCCCATCTGTCTCCTGCATATTGATAGCTGCTCCCCAATGTCTGCAAATTATATGCAGTATAATGTTACACAAAATTCTGTGACCATCTGTGATCGTAGTAGGCCCTGTTGTCACTGTGGAGTTTGAACTTGATTACACAGATGAGTTCAGTAGGGTAACCTGTTTTGCTGCCTTGTCAGATTTAGTGACCCTGCTGTATGCCTGTTGCTGTTTACATCAGACCAAAATACTCTCTAGGATATAAAATAGAGGCCTTTAGACTTCACCAGTGTATTTTGGTAACATTAAATACATTGTCAAATAGAGGGAGGTAACTTTTAATACTGCCTTGTCGGATTTGGTGCTGAATGTCCGTTACTGTTCAATTGAGATGGTCCTCACTGCAGAACACAAGATCCAGGGGGCGAGGTTGGATCCAGATCCAACTCCTCCCACCTTACATATACCGAAACCTACCCGTCTCCACCCGATCCCTAAACCCACCCATCTCCACCACCTAGATGTGGATCCAACCTCACCCCCTGGATCTTTGTTCTGCAGTGAGGGGCTACTGGTTCAATTCAGACCAAAAAATGGAGAAGAGAGAAGTTTAAACATCGCCAGAGTAAATTAGAGTAAATTCTTTGGTGCTAACCACTAATCTATAATAGAGAATATATATAGATCAGTGGTGCTAACGCTATTTAAATTGAATTAGTGATGCTACCTCCCTGAAAGGAGTTTTTCCAGGCTGAGATGTCTGAGATACGGCCCCACCTGATGGCAGAATGATTTAACTGCAGTAGAATGGAAAAATACATTAAAACAAAAACACTGTAATTGTTCAAGCCACATTATAGAGATACAGTACAACTTGAACTTACCAGAATGGCCACTAGAAAATACATTTCCTTTGTTTATTCAGTCTTACTGTGTTCATTATTCTCTTTCACATTCAGATCAGTGGGTTGGTCGTACTGTGGTGGCAGTACTGGGTAAAGGTTTCGCAGGTGCTGCTTTTTGTACAATTGTATTATACAGCTCAGAGCTTTACCCGACTGTCCTCAGGTAATGGTCAAAAACAGTATAATTTGATATTTTTATTATTTGATACAAATGTAAAAAAATAAAGGAGTGCACTTATATTTCTTTCATCCCTCATACATTTCCTCATTACATATCAGTGCACAGTATTTAACTAAATCATTTATTTGACTGGATCCTTCAGGCAAAACGGGATGGGCTATAACTCGTTCCTGGGCCGGCTGGGTGTGTCTGTGGCTCCTCTAGTCCTGCTATTGGACAGTTTCTGGGGCCATTTATCTCAGACCATCCTGTGTTCTGTGGCACTCATTGCTTCTCTGGTGGCCTGGCAGTTACCCGAGACACGAGACAGGTGTCTACCTGAGACTATAGAGGATGTCGAGGGTACTGGGTAAGTCATAACCTATAGTATTTTGTTATGGCAACTATAGAAGACTGCCTGTTGCTTTAGTACATGAGTAATTCTGTTGAGTCAAGGATGTAATACTGGGACCAAAACAGATTTAGTTATGTTAAATCTAAAACAATCTGGAAAGTTGATATGTGTACATGCTCATTAACCAAGTAATTTTTTATCATATTGAATAGGAAAAGTCTCATTAAAGATCATGACAAGCGGGAGGATGAGGAGAAAATGACAATGAATGGACACACTGAGGAGCACTGAGATTGTGTGCACATTCAATCTTAAATTTTACCCAAGTTGTTTAGTGTTCAGAGTTCAGATCCCAGTAAATGCACACAAAAACAAAATAAAAATAAAATCAAAACTTGAAAGAACAATTTCAAAGTTTGTTTAAAAGGTTTTATTAGTCCCACAAGGATTTACAACTTTCTCCAGTGACATGTAATAATTATAGCTATTTTAAATGGAGGCATGAATGAATAAATGAAAATCTGAGTTTGTGTTTGTGAAAGAGAGAAAAAGAAAAGAAAGAGCCTATGTATGTGTGACTTTTGTATAACTTTTTTTTTTTAAGATGTCAGTGGCCATTTCTGATTATCAGAATGCATGCAATGTGCAATGACATCTGCATATATCTGACTATGTGAAAAATCTTTACACCTTACAATTTTAATATGTAAAAAAAATGTCTGTAACAAATATGAGTTTGTGTTTGTGAAAGAGAGAAAAAGAAAAGAAAGAGCCTATGTATGTGTGACTTTTGTATAACTTTTTTTTTTTTAAGATGTCAGTGGCCATTTCTGATTATCAGAATGCATGCAATGTGCAATGACATCTGCATATATCTGACTATGTGAAAAATCTTTACACCTTACAATTTTAATATGTAAAAAAAATGTCTGTAACAAATTAAAAAAAAGAGCTTTTCCTTTGTGACTTAATGTTCACTTGGCATTTCATTCTCTGCATTTTCTTTCTCGTAAATGTAACAGCCCACCTTTCCAATGTTCACACCTTTTGGTCCAAACAGGTACCCGTAGCAGGGCACATGGCAGTATGGACTGCCCTCATGCTGCAGAAAATAGAGAAAATACAGCACATTATAAGGGAGCCTGAATCAATGATAAAGCAATCATTATGGTAGGTATTCTACAAATATTACACAATAATTCATTTACATTACATATAGGATTTACATTTCAGATTTAGCTACTGTTTTAATAGTGGAATTGAACATTTAATGAATCAAAAAATAATAAATAACAACATTTAATAACAAACAACTGACAAAATGTAAAAAATGCATTCAAAAATGCAATAAACATCTATCAGAGTAGGGAAGTTGAAGTAGTGAAGACGCAGCGACTGCATATTATGCTTTAATTGGAAGCAGTAGGTTGTATAGTAGCCTACCTCTGCATGGCCACCAGGGGTCAGTGTTTTCTTGCACCTAACACAGCGAAGACAAGGCCTGTGCCAGTTGCGACCCAGTGACATCACCTTCTCAGCTGCAGCATTAGACCATGACATCACATTAATACAACACAATGCTATATTTAATGGTTATATTTTAAAAAATTAAATTAAATGTATATTCAGAAAATTAACAAAAATAAAGAAGGTATTTATTTAAATATAATTTTTATATAAAGCATGGAAAATATAAATATATAATTCAATTATATAATTTTGTGTATAATTTATAACTTGATCAGTTTGTATATGGCTGTATATGGCTAGAAAATAACTACAAAGTCTTTAAATGTTACACTCCAGTCTAAATGATGAGTAACCATTGTAAACAACACTCACCTTTGACTTTTACCTTAAACTATTTTAAACATTTATTTATTGGAATTTTTGCTGTTCCTCTTTAAATGGACTCAATCTCAAAATGGTCAGACCGAATGCTGCACATATACAGCAGCACAAAACCACACACACACACACAGACACACCAACCACAGACATTCCTGAAAGTTCTCAAATGTCTGAAAAGTCATAGTTTTGATTCACTGGACTCACCGAAATAAACTGCCTTTCCACAGCCGGGACACAGACAAGTCTCTCCGGCAAACATGCGTGTAGTTGCAGTGGAAGCTACAAACAAGAGCAAAACCTTTATGTATTGTACATTTCTTTTAGCTTTTATATTCGTATAAGTTGCTGAACTATAACTATAATTTGAGCCAAGGAGGACCATAATTCATTAAAAATTACATATAGGTGCTTTTCTGTCTTGTGTCTCCTAGCATTCTATGTCTATGATATCTATTAGCCAGTTATTAATCTTGATCTGTTACTAAAACATTTTCATAACTTCTGGTTTGATGCTTCTGAAGGCCAGCTCCAGGCTGGTGCGATTAAAGCTGTGCTGTACGATGTGCTTTGATAAGGATCTGCGGCACTTCATTTCACAAACCTACAGTCTTTAAATCAATGCTTCTATCTCACATCAATGATGACAGACTGTTACCAATTTTAGATCATAATGTCTCTTCCCGTGTTAATTTGATCAAAGTGAACCCATGGTGCTTGGCTCATGGGTTAAGGAAATCTGTTACGTTCTGAGACATTCCTCCAGACGTTTCCAAAACGGTCCAAAAAAACGTCCCCTAACATTCCTGCAATCTCCCGCCTGTCGGAAAACACCTATTAACTGGGGAAATATTTCAGGAAAGGAGCCAATCAACGAAGACCATTAAAATTCCAATGCGTAAAATCCCTAGGGGGTCACTTTAGAAAACCATCCACCAACCCCTCCATTACAACACACAATCTCTAGTATTTCTGTTTCCCACTCAGTGTGGGAATCTGTGTGTGTGTGTGTGTGTTAAAAAGTGCTGAGGAAGTGTTAATGTACAATGGAATGTGTGATACAATGCAGCACAGACGAGCGTGTCAATATAAATACAGTGGCTAAGAATAGCATATGGACACTTAAGATACACTTAACTATGACTGAATGTCATTTCATTACAAGACAAAATCAAACCAAGAGGCATCTGCAGTCAAAAGATGCAAGAGCTTTTCTCAGGGAATAACGTCCCTTTTCTAGGCCATTTTTAAGTACTTTTAACCAACTGAAGTCAAGGTGATTGTAGTAGATGTATGAAGTCAGTTACCCCTCAAGTTAAACAGGTGTACCAGCAGAGAAAGCACATATGTGACCCTGGACCAAAAAAAGTCTTAAATATCAATTTTTCAAAATTGAGATTTATACATCATATGAAAGCTGAATAAATAAGCTTTCCATTGATGTATGGTTTGTTAGGATAGGACACTATTTGGTCAAGTTACAACTATTATGGAATCTGAGGGAGCAAAAAAATCAAAATATTGACAAAAAAATCGCCTTTAAAGTTGTCCAAATAAAGTCCTTAGCAATGCATATTACTAATCAAAACTGAAGTTTTTATACATTTACGGTAGGAAATTTACAAAATATCTTCATGGAACATGATCTTTACTTAATATCCTAATGATTTCTGGCATAAAAGAAAAATCTATAATTTTGACCCATACAATGTATTTTTGGCTATTGCTACAAATATACTCCAGCGACTTAAGACTGGTTTTGTGGTCCAGGGACACATATGTAGTTTACCACTTTAAAGGGATAGTTCACCCACTAAAATTACCCCATGATTTACTCACCCTCAAGCCAACTTAGGTGCAAATGACTTTCTTCATTCAGACGAATACAATCAGAGTTATATCAAAAAATGTTCTGGCTCTTCCAGACTTTATATAAATGGCAGTGAATGTACTGTAAATTGTACTTTATTGGACTTCTATTGGACTATTGAATATCACCACCCATTCACTGCCATTATAAAGCTTGGAAGAGCCAGGACATTTTTTTAATATAACAGAATTTATTCGTCTGAAAGAAGAAAGTCATGGGGTAATTTGCATTTTTGGGTGAACTATCCCTTTAACTAAGGACATATACCACTAACATTTGAGAACCAAAAAGTGTCCAAATACTTTGTTTTAATTTTTGACAGTATATTATGGAAACCACTTTTGCCTAAGAGTATAAGAATAAAAATAAAAAGGTAATTGTGACTTTATATCTCAGTGTGATATATCTCACAAGTGCCACTGTTTCTCACAAGATTACTTATTTTTCTTATTTTAAACTATTGCATAATTACTTTATTTTTTGCTTTAGACTTTTCATGGTATAAATATTGTTTTATCATTTCAAACCTAACAAACCATTTTGTAAAATTTTAGCTTGAAACACATTTACATTTACTGAATTCTTCAGTGTCACTTGAACTTTCAGAATTCATTCTAATATGCTGGTTTGCTGCTCAAGAAACATTTCTTAGTATTAGCAACGTAGAAACAGTTGTGCTGCTTAATATTGTTGTGGAAACAGTGATATATATTTTATCACGATTCATTGATGAATAGAAAGTTCCAAAGAATAGCATTTATTCGATATTATTCGATTATTATATTTTAACATTTTAAATGCATTTAACTGTCACTTTTATAAATGTAGTTTGTTCTTGCTGAATACAATTTTTTTTCTTACTGACCCCAAACTTTTGAACAGCAGTCTATGTCTAAATGACAGTACCTTTGGGTTGATTATAGCTGATCTGTGAGTTGGTCCAAGGTGTAGTGGGCGATCCGTCTGAAGGGCTGTTACATGATTTGTTGACCGGTGTTTGAGGAGGTGTGTCATATATGTAAGATCCCGCCCCTCCAATATTTACACCTACCAATGAGAGGACAGAACAGTGAGTACCATTCCATTACTGCCTGAGTGAGCGTTAGTGGTGGATAAAGCTCATATCTAAGTGTTCAGATTCTCCTAATGCAGATAGCATTAGACAAAAGCCAAAAATATCCTCTTTGGGTCCTGATAAAATGTATCTCTCCTGAACTGCGCACTCACTTGGATAGTATATTACAACCTGAAACAAGCATATTCTAATGTCTGAGTGTGCATTAACATAAGCTATACACTGAAACCTAGCATCTTACCAAACACAATATTTTCCTACTTCTAAACACACACCTCAGTCAGCCACTATATGTGTCTCTCTTATGTCGTCACTGGATCTGCTTTAACTCTTCTGGTGTCTTAAGTGTTTAGGAAGACAGGGCGACATTTTTATTGTGAATGTATGTGTACATGATGATATTTGTATGCATTCGGGAAGATATTGTTGCAACTATTAATATGGTTTGTAAGTGAAAATAGGACTGTCTGTTAGTGGTCATCGTCCGTTCCCGTCTCTGTGGTTTAGATGTATCCCACTTAACAGATTGCGAAAAGACAAATCTCCACTTCACTAGTGGATTCTGTCATTTGATCTCATGAGGAAATTAACTAATTAGAGTTTTAAATAAAGGTACCGAGTGAAATGTCCCTGTATAATCTGGTTCAACCTGAAAGATCTGCTTTGATCTGGATGATTTCAACCAACAAGATATAAGATATTAAAACCATAGTTTTCATTTATGAGTCATCATGAACTAATTCGCTTGTTCCAAACTTGTACGATTTTATGATATTTTGAAGAAACACAGTTATGTAAGGACTGAGCTCTTTTTAAACTTTTTAAAAAATTTCAGAAAGATGAAATGCAACTTTTTTTATCTTACAAAAACTTTTTAGCTTGGCCTTTTTTAGGTTTCTTTCCTTATCTCTTTCACACACACACACACACACACACACACACACACACACACAATAAGGTTTCTAGTGGTAAGTGTACTGTCTTTATTTGGAAGGTTATTCTAAAAGTCACTGAGAGTCAGATGTCACTAAATGAGCCCCGATTCAAACCTTTATTTCCTGTGCATGAACAGATGCCGCATAAAGAGCAAGTAGCACTAAAGACCCAAATACACATAAAAAAAACCTATGAGCCCCAAGATTCTCACTCAGCTTTATATGAAAATACATTATATTTTACATGTAAAGTATCTCAGTTGCACACACACTCCCAACATGGCGTACAAACTGCAGTCACAACTTATTGTACATACCTTTTGGTCCAAACAGGGTTCCATAACAGGGCTTATGACAGTAAGGCAATCCATCATGCTGTGTGTGAGAGACAATATCTTTATTAGTCCATTTTAACTTTATTTTACTTAATTAGCAGAATTTCTCATTGTGTGTACAGTAGGTTGCTGCATACACAAAACAAAAGCTTTATGTCAATAAAAAACACTAAACCTATTGAAATATAGAGAATATTTTTCCCAATTCAGTTTAATCGCTGACATAACCTGAACAAATATAAATATTCTGGCTTAGAAATACTAATTATTTGTCTATAAAAATGTCTATTTCTAAATATTAAAAATCTACTAAAACCTGCATTTTCAGGTAAGGTAAAATGATCAGAAGTGTGTGTGGAAGACAGAATGAAAGAGAGAGGCTTGTGTCGTGCTAGATTCATTAAAGGTCATTGTTTATTCTTCTGTTCCTTCCTGCTCCTCCCAGACTGAATAAAAAGACCCAGTTAGGCTCAAATTGGACTAAAATTCAAGCCTCCTAACACACACTCAAACGCATACACACTAAAATAGAGGTGTGTGTTTGAGTGCGTGTTACTTGTGCACATAACAGTGCTCTTGAAAAAAAATAAAAAAATAAATAACATGCTAAAATGAGTAAATACATATAATTTATATACATAATTTTTTTGTATTTTACATGAATCATCATCAGGGATTTTTTATGTATATTTTATATATTAAAAGCAACATCTTTCTCAGTGTCTCTGTTGTGAGCTAAAAATACTGTTTGTGTTCCAACTAAGAGCTGTTTCCAAAAGAACAGAATTGGGGAAAAAGCCAGTCGACAGCTGCAGTGAGTGAACACTAACAGCAACACACACCCTCCTGCTGTTTTGAACACAATAAGAGAAAAAGAGCACACACACAATAAAGGGAACACAGTAACTGTAATAAAAGAATAACAAGACTAAATATATCCTTCATTGAGACAATAAAGAGCTGTTTGTCCATCCATTTTTAATCAACACAAATGAAAAAAACAATAGAAAAGACAAAACGCTCCTTAATTTTAAGTCAGAACTCATCTTATAATTAAATTAAAGCTTTGTGTGACTATTCTGTTTGTGTGCATGCAAGCGTGAGCGTGTTGACAGAGAGAGAGAGAGAGAGAGAGAGAGAGAGAGAGAGAAGAAGAAGGGAGAAGGAAGAAAGGAAGAGAGGCAGAAAGGCAGACAATTGCTTTCTGGTTTGAATTAACTCTTATCTTTGGCCCTCCATTGTCCTTGTAATAGTTCTTGTAAACACAAACAGTAACTTTGAGTGTGGGAGAGGATGAGCATATGCTTACAGATATACCTACTTGTTCAGTAAAAAGATTTGAACTAGCTGTACCTGACTGAACATGTGTTTGAAAATGACAGATTACTGCTATTTCTCTGCCGTTAAGAATATTATGATTTACCTTTTCATATAAGAGGCAAGTAGCAGTAAAGCCCCAGACTAAAAGAATCTGTTTCACTTCCTGTTACCACAGCCAGTCAGTCTTCACCCTGTTGTTCTTGTCAATCTCTTTTCTGTTTTATACTGTAAAACTGACTGAATAAAGCATCAAACACTTTTTAGTAAGGATATTAATTTCTTGTCCTTTCGTTCTTTGCTATTTTGACGTTCAGGGATCAAAAAAAGTATGGGAATGGCTTTTTGTAACAATTTCAAGAAAACAAACATGCTTAAATGTTCCATCCAATATTAAATAGATAAATAATGAATACATTCGTAATTGTAATCTCTCCCTGACAGTCTGAGAACATTCCAGACAGAGCTAATGAGGTTACTATAAATACTAATTCTATGCGTTTACAGTCATTGTAGGATTTCAATTCCTCCATAAACTTCTACTCGTGATGAGTGACAAGTCTACAGGTGAAATATAGACTTACAAAGGGATGAACGATCATTTAACCCAAACAGGGAAACAAGACAACTCTTATCACTGAACTAGAAAATGTCTCCTAACGTATCAGACAGGACCCTCACACATGTCAGTTCAATAAAAAGGAGAAAGGAAACAAAGAAAGAAAGAAAAAAGGACAATGAGGGGCACCCAAATAGAAGTGGACAGGGATGACCTACAATCAGTGTCAGCTCAATGGATTGAGCTTGTGTGGTCGCCTACTAAACTATGACACTGTGGATGTGAAGCCTCACACTGTGAAACTCTGCTGTTACAGTACATACAGACCAAGAAGCAGGACATCCAGAATCACAGTCTATCTCGATGCAATATCAGCTTTAGTTCTGCTTACCTCCGCATGGCCTCCAGCAGACAGAATCTTACTACATCGTTCACATTTCAGACAGAAACGGTGCCAGTTTTTCCCCAGAGAGCTCACTTTCTCAGCTAGAACAAGGAGAGAGTATAATGTGTTATCTGATCAGAATGTGAGGTATATAATGCTGAGGATGACCGCCTTAACTGCAGTAATCTATATCTAAATTACACACAGTTAATAAGATTGCAATTGTCCTGTAGTGATAAATTTCTGTTTGGCTGCTTTGCATTTTAGTCAAATGGCCTCTTCTATTCTAAGTGGGTGGTTTGTGGCCAGTAAAAGCTGCTAATTGGACCAGACTATATGTTAGTCAAAAACCTAACTTTGTATGACTAGCATCACATGGTCTTCTTGTTCTATGTCTCTGAACTGAAAGAAAGCAAGAAACATTGAAATATCAAGCAAGCACTACTATTTAAAAGTTAAATTTAAATAGTTTAAGTTGGACATAAAAAAAATAAAATAAAAAAATACTTATATTCAGTAAGGATGCATTAAATTGATCCAAAGTGACAGACCTTTTGTAATATTACAAATGTCTTTACTATTTCAAATAAATGCTGTTCTTTTGAACTTTCCTTAATCAATGAAACTGTAAATGTATCACACCATGCAAATATAAAGCTTTACAACTGTTTTCAACATTAATAATAAGAAGAAATGTTTCTTGAGCAGCAAACCAGCATATTAGAATGATTTCCAAAGGATCATGTGACACTAAAGACTGGAGTAACAGCTGTTAAAAATTCAGCTTTGTCATCACAAAGATAAATGGCATTTTAAAATACATGCAAGTAGAAAACAGTGATTTAAAACTGTATTTCACAATATTAGGGTTTTTTGTTTATTTTTGATAAAAATAATGCAATCTCTTACCCACCCCAAATTTTTTGAACAGTATTGTATACTGATTTTCAGCCAGCTTCAGTCTATTTAAAAATGTTTTACAACTTCCACTGTACAAAAAACTGCCTGAATGTGTTCTCTCTTACTCAACCAGCTCTTGAATTAAAAACAAAAAAATATATAGTTTGCTATGAGCAAACACACAGTAAACAGTCATGGACTTTGGAGGACAGGAGTGAGAAATACAAGCGATTCAGAGAAAAACACACTGGTCAACATGCCACAATCAATTAATCAATAAGCATATTTTCTGTAATTATAATATACCTAAAGGAGGAGCTATGATATGATATAAAAACATTCTCCATGTTGACACTGTGCATGTGGGGGACTAAACCCACCTCCCCAATGCCCTATATGCTTACTAGCTGACATTCCTAGGGTCTGTCTCTCTCTCTCTCTCTCTCACACACACGCACACGCACACACGCACACACGCGCACACACACACACACACACACGCACACACACAACTAGTCAGGTCAAACAGAGAGCACACAGACTCAGACATATTCAGAACTCTAGGCTCAGTGGGGATATCAAATCATCAAGCTCCTCTTCAACACAGCCAGAAAGATAGTTACTCCATCCGCTAACCTGCAACAGTAGCACAACAGATCCGCTCACTTTATTCAAGAGTCCCTTGCCAAATTCTTACGTAACACCGTCACCCAATTCTCTTTTCACGGGCTATAGCATTTACTAGCCCAGTGGATACTGGATGCCGGGACAGAATACTAAACAGGAGCTGACAATAATGGGACAGACTAGAGAACATCCTCCAATGTGGTTGTGGGAGCGTCAGGGTCACTTGTTCTTGACCCATCAATAACAATACTGTTGCACAGGCTGCAAAATTAACCCTTATCTTCTTCTTGTGACTGACAGCTTGGGGTCCCAGAGATCTCTATGCTGTACGCAGGAAAAAAAAGAAATAGTAATTTTGAAATGAACCTATTATTTTACCCTAAATCTTTTCCTCTGACTCAGTTAAACTCACTAGATGGATTAATTGAACCTTTTTACAAAGACACATACTTTTCATGTTTATCAAGGACAGCAAGACCACATTTAGTCACGAAAAATACATTAAATCAAATACCAATTCACTATTGAGTAATGATGTGTACAGCAGAGAATATTAGTATATGTAAATTAATTGAGTTTATTCATATAAATCTCTGAGAACCCAAACAGAATAACAACATCCATGGTGGACTTTTGTTATAAAGCATACAAATATACACACATGCGCCCGAACACACACAAATCATCAAGTATCAGTCCAAAGTGTTTTTGAACTATTTAACTGGATATGGGTTATTTAAGACCACCAAAAGAAAACTCTTGCTATGTAACTCTGTCAATTTTTGCATTAGTTTATTCATTTAAAAAAAGAAATTAACCTTGACCACATACCCATGCAATTCAAGTCAATTAGTCCAGTCCAATAATACAATACCAATCAAATGACCGTGGCTTGTACTTCTGCTGAGTGATGATTCTAGTGGAAAACTCTCACCGAAAAACACAGTCTTATCGCATCTTGGGCAAATGGCCGTCATTCTCTAGAAGAGTCTTGCTGCTGCGCAGGTTCGGTTCTGTCTGTCTCTCAGCGGCGCTGCACACTGTGTGCAACAAGAGTCGAGTCGCGTCGCGTCGCGTCGCGTCGCGGCGTTTATTTAACTTTAAAGAGCCTCCGCGCTTGTCTCATGAATATTAAATACGTTGCGTGACGTTCGACCAGTAAACTCTGATTGACTGAAAGGTAACGAATCCCGAAGGCTTGGCTTGTAAATATTAATTAGGAAATACAAGGTTACCAAGCAACGTCAGCTTGACCTTGTTAATATTCATAGCCTTCGCCATAATGAGATTCGTTAATACGCATCGAGCTGCGTGGCACAGTTACGCCACGCCTTTGGCTTGACCAATGAGGAATGTTTCTTATATGTCAATCAAAACAAAAACACGCAAAGCTACCCATCAAACTCTCCCGACTTCACAAGCTTGTCACTAAATAAAAGTTGTTAGTCTGTTTTGTCTTTTGTCGTATGAATCTTGAGACATTAGGAGTTTTAAAAATCTTGAAAATATTTAAAGGCTGTAAGAATGTGTTTTTGTTTTCATTGACACGTGGTGTTTTAGATCAAAACCACAGCACTGGCAGTCCTTAACACCATTTGAATACTGGTCAATTTTGAGGTTTGGGGTTATTTTGCTTTCATGCAATGTCTTCTTTCAGAAAACATCCAAAATATACATTTAAGTGCTTATTTTATCACACTTTATGCATGTGTAGATTTTAATTACAATACATATCTTTAAAGGCTGTTTCCTCAAAATGAGTTTCCGGTTTTATTCCTATCTATATTCTGAAGGGTTTTACAGAGGGGTTGTTCATATATCATTTGCCTGATTTATATAACATTTTATGAAACAGCAAGAATGAAACAGAATTTTGAACCTGGCTTTACCTAATGTTCAGATTTCTGTTATGGAAATGTATTCAAATTTGTGCACATTTAATTAGTGCATGTGCACATTTAAACATAACAGTTCAGTAAACTTGTCAAATAAAACCCTGTCTTAATGCACTGTGATTAACCATGGGGAAATTTGTTAATTAGAGTCTTGATGAATTACAAAGTTTTCTTTTTTTTTTTAAATGAAGCACATTAAAGTGAGCCAAAGTTCACAATTTCACTGTCGTGTTGTTCCAACTTCCAAACATGTATGACTTTCTGTCTTCCATAGAATACAAAAGGAGATGTTAGGCAGAATGTTAGGAACTGACAGCCTCAGGCAACAATCACTTTCTTTGCTACTTTTTTTTTTTTCATACAGTGAATAGTGTCATTCTGTGAAAGGCTGTCATTCCACCTAACATCTCCTTTGTGTTCCAACAAACAAAGAAAGACATATGGGTTTGGAACAGCATGAGGATAAATAAATAATGGCAGAAATTTCATTTTTGGATGAACTCTGGTAAACCCAAACTTTGTTATGCTAATGTTTACTGAAGCAGAAACCATCCCCGCTCTCGTTCAGTAAAGATACTGTAATTAGTGCGGCCTAAATAGATGCATGTGAATGATGGAGGCATCAGTAAATGTACGTTCAGCTACTGGCATCACCACTGAGATAATAGATGATCTCATTCTTGTGTCCTTAGATGGGGTCAAAGGTCACCTCATGAGAGACAGCAATCCATGGTACCAACTGTTTAAGACTCTCTCAACTCTCACATAGTCCATTATAACACTGTCCATGGACCTTATACCCTCAAATGTAGTGTTAATAGCCATCAGTATTTCAGTATTAAACAAATAACATATTGTATAATAGTGTAATTTATCTCCCTGTTTCACTTGCTTTGTGTTTTATTTGTATATTTATTTGTGTTTCTTATTATTATCATTGTTGAAAACTGTGATACATTTTCAGTATTCTTTGACGAATAGAAAATGTATTTGAAATTATTTATTTGAAATAGAAATCTTTTGTAACAAAAACAGTATTTACGCTCACGTTTGATCAATTGAATGAATCCTTGCTGAATAAAGTATTTCTTTCTTTCTTTCTTTGTAGTATGTAATTATTTTAAAATATACCTTTTACAATGAAGCTTTAAGTAGAAAAGTCACCAGCTGCAACACACCGCTTAAGAACAGCCTTAGTTAAAATACTCAACAGTGAAGTAAGGCATATAATTGAGAAAGATGTTACGCTAAAATACTGTTCACTTAACATTCACTAATTGAAAAACATCTCCTTTGGTCTGACATCACTGTGAAATCATTATGACATCACTGAATGGACTGACCTGCGGCAGGCAGTGGGAAGAAGATGCTGGAACTTTGAATGAGCCTGTGTTGTTGCCTGCTCTTGCGTTTCACTTTATTATAGCGCCCCAGCTTGCGTCAAATACTATGTATGGGAGTACTGGATGTATGTATTTTTTCTTATTTGTTGTCGTTTGTTCCTTTTACCTTAGGTTAATATTTTACCTTTTACCTTATTTGTCTTAGTTTCGCCCTTTACATTATTTTTATATATTTTTTGTATTTTATGTCCTTTTGTGCTTGGAATAACTCAACTATGTTTAATTATTTAAACTATTTTGTTTGATGTTCATCACAAAAACCTTTTTTTACATTCCTATTAATAAATTGACATGAACGATTATTTTTAATATGTAGTTGTTTATGTAACAGTTTATGTGAATGTTGTTACACCCTATCACCACTAGATGGTACCAGTGTTCCCCAGAGTTTAATAAATACAGACAATAAAGCCAACAAGTCTCTGTTTCATTTGGTTCATTACTGAAAAAAATCAGTGATTTCTACAGTACATCAGTTGTCACAACACTTGCCTAAACAATTTAGAATGTTTCTGGAGTGTTAACTTACTACAAGAGTGATTGTTATAAAACAAACTGAAACTTAAAACTTTCAATTATTTGCTCATGCTGTACAGCAGTGAACATTCTGGCAATATTAGCAAAGGTTCTGGACTTTTTCATAATAGGCCCGAATCCTGACTTTTTTTTTTTTGGCATCTGTTAGTGTCAGCTGAAGGCTGTGTGCCATGTATGGCTTACACTGAAAGTTTGTAATGTTAGCTGATTCTGTCAGGTGTTCAGAAAATGAACAACATTTGATTGATTATTATTTGACCTTGTTTGCACAGTTTGAGTTGGGTTGAACTAGTAAAAGATACAATTAAATATCCAATAAAGTTACTATTCAGATCTTATCACTTTAATTGGCTTTTTAAATCATATTTCAGAAACATACACCTACATCTACATTAGGTCGAACTAAACACATTCACATGCCCTCACAGAGTAAAAGATAAAATTAAATATTATTCAATAAAGTTACTAAATAAAATTTATTCTATCTGTGTACAAAGAATGGCTTTGTGTTTTTCTTTGCATATACCTTAGATGTACAAATACATATGCACCACTGTCCAACAGTTTGGGGTTGGTAAGATTTTTTTCATGTTCTTTCAAAATGCTGCATTTATTTGTTCAAAAATACAGCATATTTGAAATATATTTGATTATACAGTGGTGTGAAAAAGTGCTGGCCCCCTTCCTGATTTCTTATTTTTTTGCATGTTTGTCACACTTTAATGTTTCAGATCATCAAACTAATTTAAATATTAGTCAAAGATAACACAAGTAAACACAACATGCAGTTTTTAAATGAAGGTTTTTATTATTAAGGGAAAACAAAATCCAAAACTACATGGCCCTGAAAAAAAAAAAATCAGGAAGGGGGCCAACACTTTTTCACACCACTGTATATTGAAATGTCATTTATTTGGCAAAGCTGAATTTTCAGGAGCCATTACTCTAGTCTTTATTGTCACATGATCCTTCAGAAATCATTCTAATATGCTGATTTGATGCTCAAGGAATATTTCTTATTATCGATGTTGAAAACAATTGTGCTGCTTAATAAAATGTTTGTGGAAACTGTCATTAATTTTCCCCCCAGATTCTTTGATGAATAGAAAGTTCAACACAACGTCAACAAAATCTAATATTGTGATGTAGAGATCAAAAGTACCACCATTAACAGCCAATAATGTCTTGGTAACATTCCACCATGTTTTGTCATGATGTAATGTGTTTTTATTTATTTATTTTTCTCCAGTTTCTGGTGTAGTCTTCATAAATGTATCAAATAAACTTTTATTTAAAAACAAAAAAAACATTTAAAACATTTTTGCTCTAGAAAAGCTCTATATCAAAAAGTTTTTAAAAACAAAAAAACAAACAAACAAAAAAAGGTTAGAAATTCCAATCAAATTCTGATTGGAAGTTGCTGTGCACTTAATTGTTGGATAATGAAAGAGAAAATCTATATTCTGGAAAATCTAATCAAGTCCTAATATGTTGAAGAGTAAACAGTAGTAGCATCCTATAAATCATTCATTATGATTAAAATAAAAACATTTATAAATGTGAATCTACATCTCTGTTCTCTGCACAGTTGAAAATCTCAGGCTGCTTTCACCCTGCCCGTCATTTCAAGAACATGGACAATTGACCAGATGTCCCTCGTAGCCTAGGTGTGGGGCAGAGGGCACACCCGGTAAGTTCAGTGGTGGGGTTGAAGAACACCAGCTCTGTTCAGAGTCAAGGGTCAATCTCCATGGGAATGATAGTGAGGATGACGTCCTCGTTGCCACGTTGAACCACTATGCGTAAACTGGTGTCCTTTTTGATGGATGTGCTCACATCCGTTGCCGTGGAGACCCGCTGACCATTGATAGAAATGATGACGTCATGTTCCTTAAGTCCACCTCTACAGAAGAGACAGAGAAGAGGGGAAAAGCATTTGAGGAGGAGGACTGAAGAGGACTAAAATAATTCCTTTTGATTAAGGTCTCCTAATCTTCAGAGATTACATCACAGAAACTGAACCCTCTCCAGTACTAATCAAATATTGCTGGATTTCCCAGAATTACTGCAAAATAGCTTCCAAAATCAACTCTTAAGGCTGTGCATTATGTATTTTTACAGTTGTTGTAGAACTGTATGCTTCATCGAAACATCAACATCAAAAGTGTAATAGCGCTATAATTCAGACCTTATCACTTTAATTGGCTTTTTAAATCATATTTCAGAAACATACACCTACATCTACATTAGGCCAAACTAAACACATTCACATG